ATGGGAGGGTAAGTGCTGCGCCCCCGGTAGTACTATTCCTTGGGAGTGCCGCCCCCAGGAAGCAAACCTTGCGAAACCTTTAGGTAACCTTCCCTCTGGTAGGGGATGAGGCCATTCCTTGCCTTAGATCTAGGCCTAAAATTAGGTACTTTCAGCAGCGCGTCTTCTACAAAAGTAAGGTAAAAGGCACATACAACCCACTGAATTTCGGAACATCACATGAAGGCAATAATTGCAAGAATAATTGTAAAATATGTAAATACCTTGATCACAATAATTATACAATTTCAAACACTACAAACTTTAAGATAAATACGTACAAAACCTCGGAGGCCAATTGTCAATCTATTAACGTCATGTTTTGCATAACCTGTCAAGATTGTGGCCTCCAGTATGTGGGAATAACCGCCAGAAAACTTAGGCTCGGTATGATGGAACACATTAGAGGTATTAGGTCGTTCCAAAAGTAATGTCGCTTTTTTCAAACGTACACCACACCTCATGGAACAAAGATATGTAAGAGATTTTAGTAGCATATGACGCAGCATTCCATCCTCTTTCCACAGGTTATATAATCACTGCACAAAATCCAATAGCCTTTCGAAAAATTATCAAAATTTGCGACCCATGGTTTTTGAGAAGGCCAAGTTTCAAAATTTTTCTAAGTTTTTATAACAACCCTCGGAAGGAGTCCAAGTAATGGATGGATAAAGCAAATCCTACATGAAACACCACAACTTTTTTCTACTTTCCAGAGCTCGTCATAATTTTTGTATAGATTTCTTGATAGAACCACCGAATTTTAGCAGGCTCGTCTCAGGCACAAATGCATCAATCACCAGTAAATCTTCGGATTTTGAAACTTACAAAGATGAATTATGGTTTGACACTAATTTTACAAAGCAAATGAGCGTTTACCGCTTTAGACTAGCAACTTTCGGAAATTCCGGGTACAGTATGGCGCTCTCTAGAAAACCTGTATTATGTTGGTTTTATCTCGGAACTTGATGAATCGGAAACAAAAAACAGCAGGTAGAAAGAGGAGAAAAAGCTGCGTCAAATGACACCCGACTGCTTGCCGATTGCTGTTCTGTGAGGTTTGAGTTGACTAAATATGGAATTTGATGGCATTGAAAAATTGGTTCCACAAAGTATAAGAAGCTTGAAAATCTTGATTCCATGAAATGTGGCGTTCATTTGAAAAAAACGACATTACTTTCGGAACGCCTAATATAAATAAGAAGGTTACTAGCAAGCTGCTTTATAGACATTTTGTTAGCCACAACGCTCTGTTGATAACGTACGCATACCAATTCTTGATAATCTTCCAGAAAATTTGGTATCAAATATCCTTAGAGATAGATAACTTTTTTGGATAAAGTTACTTATGACACCATTCCCATTCGGATTCAACGACAACATAAGGATTTGGAAATCTAACCACAATGCCTAATCCACTCAAACATTCCTTTTTTCAATCTAAATGTCATTAAAATACGAACAGATAGAAGTAGAAAAAAGACCGAAAATAAACCGGTAGCACAGTGCATTTCCACTTTAGTAGATGACGTAACTAGTTTATTTTCACAGCACATATCATACTATGATGTTCTTAGATTTCTGAAATCCAAAAATACTCAGTACATAGATACACTTACAAACATCATGACCTATCATCCGGAACAACTACAATTTAATCAGAACGACAAAATTGTCTTGATGGGCATACTCTGTTTTTATATATTTCGAAGTGAAAAACCTAAAAAAAATAAAGTAAAAAAGAATTACATACATGTCAAATTCCCATATTATAGTAAGAGTTTAGATACTTCAAACATTAACGGATTCATCAATAATAAAAGTGTATCTGACTATATACACACCAAAAAGAAAGAGTTTCCACAGTTCCGTATTATTTATCAATATTCAGATCCCATCTCCAAAAAAATTTTCAATTATAACTCATTCCTCAAATCATGGAGAGATGTACAGGATGATAATAACTCGTGCATATGTACGGAATTCGAAAGCTACATAAACAGAGATTATGGTCATGTAATTACAGGTAATATTGATATCTTCAAACAATTCTCACTACATTCACTGTTACAAAAAGGAACAAAATATAGAATACAAAATCCCCTTTCCAGTTCCACTATTCGGGAAATTTGGAAAGAACTCATCGAAAATTTGACGAGCAAACCAAAAATGAAATTACATTTAACAACTGCAGAAGCAATTATTATAAGATACCTTTATAACAATGGTCTCTCTCGTTTACATAATAAACACTTACATGCAAGTAATAAAATTATAACGGAAAAATTGAATAATAAAGAACTAAAGCACATTCAAAAATATTTTATTCTATGCCCATTAGATAATCCCAGTTCAAATTATGGTATAGTCTGAATCGCAAACCCATAGTTTTTACCTACCCTTTTGCTACTTTTGATATCTTCAATTTGAACTTTAGAAAAAGCTGAACTTTTCTAAACTTTTCTTTTCCAACTTTCTTTTCTTTTCTTTTTCTTTTCTGAACTTTTCTATTCTGAACTTTTGAAAATGCTTTAGTAAGGTAAAGTAAACAAAGTGTAAGTTGATACAATTTTTGGCATCGATAGCTGGCTTGTCAAATTTCCTAAAATTATCATTTTGATCACACCTTCGATAGTCTAGAGACAGGGCGTCAAAAGTGAAGGTCGTTTGAACATATGACGTCATAAATAGTGAAGGTTGTTTGAAGAAGTTCAGAGAAGAGAATATGACGTAAAACAGATATAAAAAGCAAAAGAAACTGCTGAAAACCGGATGAAAACGCTGCAAAGAGGTCTGAAATCTTTCATTTGGCGGCTTTTCAAAGTGCAAGTTTTCTCTCCAGGACCAGCAATTCGCAACACGAGGTTTTGATTTTTAACGCGTCCTTTAAATTTTTACCTCCCGCACTGACGTTCCTGTTTACTGGGACGTTGTCTGGATTGTTGCGCTTATTGTTCTGAGCAATAATCGCCCAGGCTGGAAAAAAATCGATGCGAAGGCACTGAAACAGAACAAGGTAAAAAAAGGGCACTTTTTACGATTTTTTGCAAAAAATTCCACCATAATCAAACAGGTAAGGGCTGGGTGGTTGTCTGCATTATGAACAGAAGCGAGATCTATAGAATGCACGAAAAAACCGCTTGAAAATAGTTAACCTAGGAGAAGAATAAGACATTTTAGAAAACAAGGTTTTTGCCGGATTTCTCGATCAAATCAAAAAATGCGGTTCTGGGACGTTGTCAGCGTGAAAATAGAGATCAAGAGCTTCAAAATGATATATACCTTGCTAAAATTGGGTTCGAAAGAGCGAAGAAAAGGGTACCAGAGCCAAATGCCCCTCGCCCCGCATTTGAGGTAGCGAGGTAGCGCGCGGCGCACGGAGACGCAGACGAGCAGCGGAGACAGACCAGAGCCGACGGGGCATTTGGCTCTGGTAGTAGATCTCCGCGGGGTCTCAACGAAACCCTGCAACATTACATATCATTCTGATCGTCATGACACGACGAGGAGAATTGACAACGTCCCAAGCTTTGAAAATCACTCATTAACGAGATAGACCAGCGTTTTCGTGTGCGACTTTGTGCGCAAGATTTATGCGCAGTTTCTCGTTTTTATTCAACTCCGATAGCTTTCCTAAACTTCTGAAACTCGATTTTATTCAAATGAGAGGATAACTGAGAAATTTTGTCTTGAATTCTGACGAGAAGATTTTACGGAAACCTTCTTTTTAAGGTAAAAAAGGCTATGAAAACGCGAATTCTCGGTTTCGCTGAGATAACTAAAGATATTATTCCCTATATTTGCTTCATTGACATTCGTTCCGATATAGTCAGGATAATAACATCCGGGGCGAAGCCCCGGATGACTTCTTTTTTTCCAGGTGAAGGTTGTGTCTCCCCATAGCCCTCAAAGTGAAGCTTAGCAGAGTACGTGGCTCTATGTATCGAGGGTATGATTTTGATGCCAAATTCGATATTTATTGCGTAAACTCAATTGTTTGTTACAATTACAGTTTAATCATAATCGATTTTTGTAAGTTCGAGTCTTCGAAGATTTCATTTCAGTTGGAGATTGTGGCGATTATTCGAAAGAACACTGAAGGAATCCGAACAAGAACATCACTGCTGAAAAGAGATAGAAGTTCCGCATAGAACAGCGCTTAGAATGTTTGTCTACCTTTATTCTGAATGATTGCAGTATCGGTCTAAAATACGGCACGAACTTTCGGACCCACCTAAAGAGAAACTTAATTTTTGCTAGAAACCCGCTTCAGTTCTTGGAGTTTCGGAAGCGAAAAGATCTTTCTAAGAACTCTACAAAACTCAGTACCCAGGTTAATCATAAATTTTAGTCGGACTGACTCAAAGTATGAGGAGTTTTAGAATAACGATGTAACTAAATGCACTGCGTATTTCTCGCCGTTCACAGCCGATCTTTAGGTATAGGAGACTTTATTTTTTCTCAATACATTCAACGAAAAGATGCTCTACACACCCGCAATTCAGCTTTTTGGGGGAAACTACCTGAAAATTTCATATGTGCTCAAAAACAAAACAACGATAAAACTTTAGGGATGGCCTAATACATGTATACATGTTCAGCTCAAAAATCCATTCAATAACAGTTAACACATCAAAATATACAAGTCCTTGGGACAAAAAAGCGTATTTGTCATACACTGAGGTAAATTATTGTGGTATGGCGTGCCGCAGTCGAGCGACAGACTTCAAGAATTGTTTTCATTCAGAATTAGAAGACAAGATAACAATAGCAACTGCCTGACTTAAACAAGGCTGCCAAAGCATATGCCTTTACAGTTTTACGCGCTTGCAAAACGAATGGAAAAGTGTAACAACGCGCAGCTTAAAACTTGCACAGCCGAGCCTGGACTGATATGGCCATACCTTTGTTAGCTTGTAATATATAAACGAAGGCGGTAGAACGCAACACACACTCCAGCAATGCGAAGAGTCTCCCTAGTCAGTTTAATCTTTGCTACATATTGGTAAGCTTTGCTTCGCTAACTTCTTCATGTGAAAAAATCTCACTTCCTTGATTTTCAGCCAATTCGCCGCAGCTGGCGGAGGTGGTGGAGGCTATGGTGAGTGCATTTTGCGTTGCTGAAACTATTTGATGTGGTAATCGAGACATACTAATACCAGATTTAACCCTTTTGTAGTTGAGCAGAAATGGGAGGCACAGGAAAAACACTGTGTCAAAAATCTTAATTAGAAAATCTTTCATTGAAGCATCAAGTGTGCGCTGACAAATATTATACAATTATAACCACACAACAGAAAAATTTTTTAGGCGGTGGCAGTGGTGGTAGCTACGCCGGCGGTGGTGGTGGAGGTTATAGCGGCGGTGGCGGCGGCGGCGGTTATGGAGGCGGAGGAGGTGGCGGAAGCGGCGGCGGTGGTGGAGGTCAGTTATATAATTCTGTCCATAACAATCTTAGTCGTTACCATTTTAGGATATGCCACTGCACCAATGCCTATGCCAGCACCAATGCCCATGCCGGCACCAATGCCTATGCCAGCGCCTATGCCACCCTCAGGAGGATATGCCAGTGGCGGAGGCGGCGGCGGTGGCATGGGAGGAGGAGGAATGGGTGGCGGAAGCTATGCGGGTGGTGGCGGCAGCTACGGTGGAAGCGGAGGAAACATGGGAGGTGGCGGCATGGGAGGAGGCAGTTATGCTGGCAGCACTGGAGGAGGATCTCAACCTCCCCCTCCACCCCCACCACCACCTCCACCACCACCATCAGGCGGTTACAGCACCGGAGGCGGCAGCTACGGTGGAAGTGGCGGAAGCACCGGAGGCGGAAGCACGGGAGGAGGAAGCATGGGAGGTGGAAGCTACGGAGGAAGCAGTGGTGGTGTGGGAGGAGGCAGCATGGGAGGAGGCAGTTATGCTGGTAGCACTGGAGGAGGATCTCAACCTCCTCCACCCCCACCACCACCTCCACCACCATCATCAGGTGGTTACAGCACCGGAGGAGGCAGTTACGGCGGAAGTGGCGGAAGCGGAGGAGGAAGCATGGGAGGCGGCGGCATGGGTGGCGGTAGCTATGGAGGCGGTTCTCAGCCTTCCGGAGGATACTCACAGGGCTCAGCGCCAATGCCACAAGCACCACCTGCTCCTGGACCCGCGCCAGTGCCGCAACCAATGCCACCACCACCCCCACCAAGTGGAGGAGGATACTCTGGCCCCTCTCCTCCATGTAAGTTTAAGAATGTCATAACTTGTTTCAGCATACGTATGTGCATTTCAGCTGGTGGTGGATATTCGCAGTCTGGCGGTGGTTACCAGCAAAGATATTTGATGCGCAATCGGGTTGTTCTCAGGAAAATGACAGCAAAAGTTTGATTTCGTGTAATATAGTTGTGTAAGAATAAATCTTTGAGAGTAATGAGAATAAGTGAACGACGTTGTTTGATAGATCTCTGGTGCACGAAGAGTGGAGTGATGCTAAGGTCATTCATAATTTTCAAAAGTGCGCAAACAGCATTCCTGGATATTGCGTACCACGGCAAAATGGGTGGCCAAAGGCTGGTTTGGTTTGGATTGAACTACACTTTTTCTTCGCATTTCAAGCCCCATTCACTTCCCAAGTACGCGAGATGCATCTCTTCTTGAGAGTCCTTGTACCATTCGGGGATATACATTTTCAATCAAAGGTACCGAATTCACAGAACTTGGTTACCATAGCCCAAAAAATGATCTCGATAAAGCTTTAGGTCCGTAGTGTGGCTCCCTGATTTTACCCCCAGCGCGCTCCAATAGTTTGGACAATACAGGATGTCACAAAAAGATGTGCACACTGTTTGATCGTTAATAATTTTCTTGCTTTCATGTATTTTGCCGAGCCTTAGGTACCATTCTGTAGAGCGAGGTTCAACTTAGAATTAAGTAAAGAATCTCCGATCTGATTTGTACTGTAGGACGGTATACCTTGCAGCAAACAGCGGCAACTCGAAATAGGCCGTTCAATGAGAAAGTTCCAAAAAAATTTTGAAAATTGTGTTACAGGATTTTCAAGCATGCTGGTTTCATTGCACAACTTCTTATCAGTTTTTTGAGCTTTTTGTATAATTACATTTCTGACGAACAATGAAAAACGGTTGGCACCCTAAACTCGTAATAACTTATGAAATAAGCATTACAATGGAGTGCAACTTTCATATCTAGAATCAGCGACTCTAATTAGTACAGTCCAAGAGTTTTTGGCTTGTTTGGTTTTTTTCTGAGGCAAAATATCGCTTTCAATGGCCTAAAGTCCTTCTCAAAGTTTCTACCGTAATTCTACAATAACGAAGAGCGATTGACGATTCGCTTCATACTGCAAAACTAAGTTCAACCTCGCTTTAGAGAATGGTACCTCAAGCTCAGCAAAAGACATGAAAGCAAGGAAGTTATTAACGACGAAACAGTGTGCACATCTTTCTGGGACACCCTATAGTTTGAACTATTAAATCGTAAATAAATAGAAAGAATGTGCCCGTTTCGCCACTGCCCCTAGACAGGTAGAATATAAACCATAAAGCAGTGGTATCAACGCAGAGTACTAGAAAGTGATAGTTGTGAGTTCCTGCCCCTTATAAAAAGTGAGGGTTGTCTCAGAATAATAGATGGAAATTTAGAGAGATGTATTAAACCAGGAAACTTGAAAATTCACATAAAGCAGAGGTTAGCACGTCACCAAATTTGAAACCTTAACTTGGTGGCCTCCTACGCACAGTTTCCTTTTCAGGATTGCCGGTTAAATTGGGTGGCAACAAGAACAAAGTCTTCGATACATAGAGCCATGTACTCTGGTAACCTTCACTTTGAGCGTCATGATAGAACACAACCTTCACCTGGAGAGAAGTACAGAAGTCATCCGGGGCGAAGCCCGGATGACTTCTGTACTTCCGGATATTATGACATAACTAATGACATAACCATATAGGGATGAATGTGAATGAGGCAAATATGGTAGTGAGATGCAAAATAAGCTCAAAAAACCGCAGGATTGCGTTATTATGGTCTTTTTTCCTAAAAAGAAGGTTTTTGTTCAAGAATTCAATTAGAAATTAGGACAAAGTTTCTCAGTTAACCTTTCTCTAGACTGCGATTGAGCGTTGGAAGTTCATGAAAGCCGCTAGAGTTCAACAACGAGAAATTGCGCTCAAATCTTGCTCAAGAGTCGCCACATAAATGCTGGTCTATCCCGTTATGGTGATTTTCAAGACCGGCGACATTGTCAGTGCTCCTGGCCGTCTCATGAGGATCACAACGATATATGATGTTATAGGGTTTCGTTATGACCCCGCCGAGATCAATGACCAGAGCCAAATGCCCCGCCGGCTCTGGTCTGTCTCCGCTGCTCGTCTGGGTCTCCGCGCGTTGCGCGCTACCTCGCTACCTCAAATGCGGGGCGAGGGGCATTTGGCTCTGGTACCCTTTTCTTCGTTGTTCGGAGCCCAATTTCGACAAGCTATATATCATATTAAAGCTCTTGACCTCTATTTTCACGCTGACAACGTCGCAACACTCCTTTTTATGATTTAAACGAGAAATCTGGAAAAAACGGCGTTTTCAAGAGCCTCAAGAAAAAGAAAGTTTTTTGTGTATTCGATAGGACTCGTTTCTGTCTATGATGTGGACAACGTCGCCAAGCTTGCTTCTTTGTTCATGCCTGGATTTTTTGTGAAAATTACTAAAAAGTGCGTTTTTCTTTACCTCGTTCTCTTTCAGTGCTTTTGCAATGAATTTTCTCCACCTTGGACGATTCTTGCTCAGAATGATGAGCGGAAGAATCCAGACATCGTCGCAGGATACGAAACGACTATGCGGGGGTGAAAATTCAAAGGACGCATCGAAAATCAGATTGGCGTCGATGTGCAACATATCTTTTTAGACGTGTTTAACATGTTCAGTTCAGCTGTTGACAAGTTTTTCTTCTTCCGGTCTCCCAACTACCGCCAAGCTAAATAACGCTTTTTTTGATTGGAAAAGAACTTTGTTCTTGTTGCCACCCAATTTAACCGGCAATTCTGAAAAGGAAACTGTGCGTAGGAGGCCACCAAGTTAAGGTTTCAAATTTGGTGACGTGCTAACCTCTGCTTTATGTGAATTTTCAAGTTTCCTGGTTTAATACATCTCTAAATTTCCATCTATTATTCTGAGACAACCTTCACTTTTTATAAGGGGCAGGAACTCACAACTATCACTTTCTAGCCTCTGTCTCTTGACTATCGAAGGTATGGTTTATATTCTACCTGTCTAGGGGCAGAGGCGAAACGGGCACATTCTTTCTATTTATTTACGATTTAATAGTTCAAACTATAGGGTGTCCCAGAAAGATGTGCACACTGTTTGGTCGTTAATAACTTCCTTGCTTTCATGTCTTTTGCTGAGCTTGAGGTACCATTCTCTAGAGCGAGGTTGAACTTAGTTTTGCAGCATGAAGCGAATCGTCAATCGCTCTTCGTTATTGTAGAATTACGGTAGAAACTTTGAGAAGGACTTTAGGCCATTGAAAGCGATATTTTGCCTCAGAAAAAAACCAAACAAGCCAAAAACTCTTGGACTGTACTAATTAGAGTCGCTGATCTAGATATGAAAGTTGCACACCATTGTAATGCTTATTTCATAAGTTATTACGAGTTTAGGGTGCCAACCGTTTTTCATTGTTCGTCAGAAATGTAATTATACAAAAAGCTCAAAAAACTGATAAGAAGTTGTGCAATGAAACCAGCATGCTTGAAAATCCTGTAACACAATTTTCAAAATTTTTTTGGAACTTTCTCATTGAACGGCCTATTTCGAGTTGCCGCTGTTTGCTGCAAGGTATACCGTCCTACAGTACAAATCAGATCGGAGATTCTTTACTTAATTCTAAGTTGAACCTCGCTCTACAGAATGGTACCTAAGGCTCGGCAAAATACATGAAAGCAAGAAAATTATTAACGATCAAACAGTGTGCACATCTTTTTGTGACATCCTGTATTGTCCAAACTATTGGAGCGCACTGGGGGTAAAATCAGGGAGCCACACTACGGACCTAAAGCTTTATCGAGATCATTTTTTGGGCTATGGTAACCAAGTTCTGTGAATTCGGTACCTTTGATTGAAAATGTATATCCCCGAATGGTACAAGGACTCTCAAGAAGAGATGCATCTCGCGTACTTGGGAAGTGAATGGGGCTTGAAATGCGAAGAAAAAGTGTAGTTCAATCCAAACCAAACCAGCCTTTGGCCACCCATTTTGCCGTGGTACGCAATATCCAGGAATGCTGTTTGCGCACTTTTGAAAATTATGAATGACCTTAGCATCACTCCACTCTTCGTGCACCAGAGATCTATCAAACAACGTCGTTCACTTATTCTCATTACTCTCAAAGATTTATTCTTACACAACTATATTACACGAAATCAAACTTTTGCTGTCATTTTCCTGAGAACAACCCGATTGCGCATCAAATATCTTTGCTGGTAACCACCGCCAGACTGCGAATATCCACCACCAGCTGAAATGCACATACGTATGCTGAAACAAGTTATGACATTCTTAAACTTACATGGAGGAGAGGGGCCAGAGTATCCTCCTCCACTTGGTGGGGGTGGTGGTGGCATTGGTTGCGGCACTGGCGCGGGTCCAGGAGCAGGTAGTGCTTGTGGCATTGGCGCTGAGCCCTGTGAGTATCCTCCGGAAGGCTGAGAACCGCCTCCATAGCTACCGCCACCCATGCCGCCGCCTCCCATGCTTCCTCCTCCGCTTCCGCCACTTCCGCCGTAACTGCCTCCTCCGGTGCTGTAACCACCTGATGATGGTGGTGGAGGTGGTGGTGGGGGTGGAGGAGGTTGAGATCCTCCTCCAGTGCTACCAGCATAACTGCCTCCTCCCATGCTGCCTCCTCCCACACCACCACTGCTTCCTCCGTAGCTTCCACCTCCCATGCTTCCTCCTCCCGTGCTTCCGCCTCCGGTGCTTCCGCCACTTCCACCGTAGCTGCCGCCTCCGGTGCTGTAACCACCTGATGGTGGTGGTGGAGGTGGTGGTGGGGGTGGAGGGGGAGGTTGAGATCCTCCTCCAGTGCTGCCAGCATAACTGCCTCCTCCCATGCCGCCACCTCCCATGTTTCCTCCGCTTCCACCGTAGCTGCCGCCACCACCCGCATAGCTTCCGCCACCCATTCCTCCTCCTCCCATGCCACCGCCGCCGCCTCCGCCACTGGCATATCCTCCTGAGGGTGGCATAGGCGCTGGCATAGGCATTGGTGCCGGCATGGGCATTGGTGCTGGCATAGGCATTGGTGCAGTGGCATATCCTAAAATGGTAACGACTAAGATTGTTATGGACAGAATTATATAACTGACCTCCACCACCGCCGCCGCTTCCGCCACCTCCTCCGCCTCCATAACCGCCGCCGCCGCCACCGCCGCTATAACCTCCACCACCACCGCCGGCGTAGCTACCACCACTGCCACCGCCTAAAAAATTTTTCTGTTGTGTGGTTATAATTGTATGATATTTGTCAGCGCACACTTGATGCTTCAATGAAAGATTTTCTAATTAAGATTTTTGACACAGTGTTTTTCCTGTGCCTCCCATTTCTGCTCAACTACAAAAGGGTTAAATCTGGTATTAGTATGTCTCGATTACCACATCAAATAGTTTCAGCAACGCAAAATGCACTCACCATAGCCTCCACCACCTCCGCCAGCTGCGGCGAATTGGCTGAAAATCAAGGAAGTGAGATTTTTTCACACGAAGAAGTTAGCGAAGCAAAGCTTACCAATATGTAGCAAAGATTAAACTGACTAGGGAGACTCTTCGCATTGCTGGAGTGTGTGTTGCGTTCTACCGCCTTCGTTTATATATTACAAGCTAACAAAGGTATGGCCATATCAGTCCAGGCTCGGCTGTGCAAGTTTTAAGCTGCGCGTTGTTACACTTTTCCATTCGTTTTGCAAGCGCGTAAAACTGTAAAGGCATATGCTTTGGCAGCCTTGTTTAAGTCAGGCAGTTGCTATTGTTATCTTGTCTTCTAATTCTGAATGAAAACAATTCTTGAAGTCTGTCGCTCGACTGCGGCACGCCATACCACAATAATTTACCTCAGTGTATGACAAATACGCTTTTTTGTCCCAAGGACTTGTATATTTTGATGTGTTAACTGTTATTGAATGGATTTTTGAGCTGAATATATATGATGCAAGCTGCGTTTATGTTTGTTAATTTTACGAGGTTCCGATCTAGGGCTTCCGCAAAATGTTACACATCACTTTTATCAAAAATAAGTTGCATACTCAAGATGCATACATATATTAGGCCTTCTCTAAAGTTTTATCGTTTTTTTGAGCGACTATGAAATTTTCAGGTAGTTTCCCTCAAAAATGCTGAATGGTCGGTATGTAGAGCATCTCTTAGGTGAATGTATTGAGAAAAAAATAAGTTTGCTATTCCTAGTAGCAAAAGATCCACCGTGAACGGCGAGAGAAGAGAAAACACGCAGTGCATTTAAATACATCATTGTTCTAAAGCTCCTCATGCCTTGAGTCAGTCGGCCTAGAATTTATGATTGACCTGGGTACCAAGTTTCGGAATTCTTAAAAAGATCTCTTCGTTTCTGAAATTCTCCATGAACTGAAGCTGGTTTCTAGCAAAAATTAAGTTCCTCTTCAGGTGGATCCGAAAGTTCGTGCCGTTTTTTAGACCGATACTCAAATCATTCAGAATAAAGGTAGACAAACACTCTAAGCACTGTTCTATGCGGAATTTCTATCTCTTTTCAACAGTGATGTTTTGTTTGGATTCCTTCAATCTTCTTTCGAATAATCGCCACAATCTACAACCCATGCATTTTACGTAACCTACCTTCAGCTTTTTTTGATATTTTCATTTTAGACATTAGAAAAAGCTTTGCTGACACTTAGATAGAGTGAACAAAATGCTAAAACACCCAGCTTTTTTTGGCATCGAAAGCTGCTTTTCAGTATTTCTAAGAACAATTTCCAAAAGCCTTCACTTGCCAAGTCTTAAAATATACAAACGCTCATACACTATGAAATCTTCGAAAATTGGAGCTTCCAAAAATCGATTATGATTAAACCATAAATGTAACAAACAAATGAGTTTACGCTCGAGATATTGGTTTTTCTCGAGATATTGGTTTTTGAAGTTTTCGGATACTGCCTGGGACGCCTCGAAAACCTAGAATTATGACGATTTTTTTGGGGTCTTTACGAATCAGAGAAGAACTTCTTTTAAGAAGAGGACAAGAACCTGCATCGAATGACACCCTAGCTGTTTGCCGTCTGATGGATGCCAAAAATTGCATCAACTTGCATTTTGTTTACTTTACCTGATTATCACCAAAGCACTTTCAAAAGTTCAAAGTAGAAAAGTTCAGAAAAGAAAAAGAAAAGAGAAGAAAAGAAAAGAAAGATGGAAGAGAGAAGTTCAGAAAAGTTCAGCTTATTCTAAAATCCAAAATGAAGATATCACAAATAGCAAAAGTTAGGGTAGGTAAAAACTATGGGTTTAAGATTCTGAGGATTTTCAAGCAAACATCTGAGGAATCCGAAAGAAATCATCAGTGCTGGAAAGAAGAAAATCTGAATACAACGATTCTTAGAGCGTTCGTCTACATATCTTTTTCTGAATGATCCAAGGATCGGTCTAAAAAACTGCACAACTTTCGGAAACAGCTACATATTGGTTATGTGCGTTCTGCAATGGTTTTCCGAGTGGGTTTTCATGAAAATCAGGATCGCCGATCTTTGTGTTACGAAAAAAAGAGCTCATGAAGATCACGGAAGACTTTAAAAGGAAAAGCCAAACAGTTTTCTTTTACCCCAAGTTCACGAGTACAGGACGTCTTTTTCTTTTTTCTAAATTCAAAGAGCCTTAACATACCGAAATTTTTGGCGCTCAAAGGACCCCTGTACAGTGCTGCATATTGCCTGGGAGTAAAGTGCGGCATAAATTTCGTTTTCCTAAACAGTGAGGCGGCTAAGCGGCTCGCTCAAAAGATCGAAGAAGGTGCGTCTTGGACTCGTGAAATCAGGGTACTGATCATCGTTGCTTTGTGGTCTCTCTTACATTAGTGTTTCAACAAACTTTAGTTATCCAGCTCAGGGTGTTGTTAATTTTTATGAAAAGGCAGACCCCGAAAGAAGGCGGATGATAGGAGTGTTTTCTATGCATAGTACAGGGGTTATAGAAATTCGTTGGAAAACTTAGCCTAGAGGGCGAATTCAAGGATATTCTGGAAGAAGTGATTTCCTTGAAAGCTTGCTAGGGATTGAGGCAAATTTACGGGATGAAGGCTAGAGATCTGAGTTTTGTGGTTGTCCCTACTCTGAAGTATCCTTCACAAGTTGTGACTTTCTAGGCCCGAAGAACACTTGGAAATGACATTATGATTTTTTTGTGATCGTGAAGACGATTTTCGGAAAGTCGATCTCTGCATTAAAGGACTGATTTTTTGTGTAAATTGCATAGACTCTTCAGCTAAGTGAAGCAATTGCTTCGAACAGCAAAAAAAGAAAAGTAGGATCCCCCAACTTACATACTCGCTGGGAGATAGATGTGAAGGAGATGTGAAGGATACTTTTCCACAATTTTTCAAATACACATCGATAAAAATCCATCATATAAATTGAAGAATTAGATATTCCGTAGTTACCATTGTAGCTATGCTGTGTGTAGAATGCAGTTTGAGTGAAGAAATTTTCCCAGATGAGGGCTGTATTGAACTGCGCATGACTATAACTGCAAATTCAACATATTTGCGCTTCAACATCAGTGCTCTGTAACATGCTGCTTCGCAGCAGAACAACATTATCTCAGAGAGATCTCTTTTATTCCAGTAGATGAAAGTAAAAAAAGAAGAAAAAAATTATAGTACACGCAAAAGCGAATCATTACAAAATAAAAGCGAGAATGACATCCGTAGCATTAGCATACAGGCAAATTCTGCTGGAAGCACTTGGGTACAACGATACAATGCTGTCTGGCCCAATTCATCGGAAGTGCCTGGATACTTTTACATACGGAATATTCTCGTGAGGTATTTAGTTGTGAGAAAATCAATGCATTTTGAGAATATATGTATATAGGAGAAGTCTGTCAGATAGTAGAATTTGCGCATCTCCATAGATGTCATATTCTGAGTTGAGCGAGATCTCAACAAATTTTACAACCTGACATTTGTAGATCACAATATACAACGTAGAACCAAAAAATTCGAGAATGGACAAGAATGGGCGGGGCTGTTGATGTCATTGGAATGGCGGCTGCGAGAACCGTGTGGCAAATCGGAGCTCACGCATCTTCAACTGACGTTCGAAATGACATCGACAAAGCTTCTTACTAACCACATGGAGAAATTTCATACAAAAACCGAGCTAAAACCGCCTGTACAACCTCTAATACGCGTAATTTGCATTTTCGTCGATATATAGGTATTGCAAAAAAAATTTACAAATCGATTTTGTTGAGAAACTGCTGAGTATTTAGCGAAGAAAAGCAAAACAGACTGCAAAAACTGGGTGAAATACGTAAATTTGGAAGAAAAAATGAAGCTGAGATACTTAGCAGCTCCGACGCTCAATGCATTGAGCAGTTCGAGGTATAGCGGCGATGTAGAGCCGACTTATACCGCGCCCTCCCCCGGTCTCAAAGTTTTTGGCCCAATCCCAAACTGCTGCTTGCATTGAGTCAACTATTGGACATATGCATCCTTATATTAGCGATAATTGTTAACAAACCGCAACCTCAATTAAATCACCACTAGAGGTTGCAGGTATGAAATAAATCTTGGGCAATCACATCTATACACTTTACACGATAGCAGAAGGCTCTACTTTTCAGCTGAAGCCTTCTTTGCCCGAGGCGCCTTACTCTTGGTAGGGCCTCGTTTCTTCTGAACACGAGGTCTTCCAACCGGTTTTTTCGCAGTCTTCTTCGTAGCGGCAGTCTTTCTCGTAGCAGTAGCCTTTTTGGGAGCCTAGAAATCTTTTTTCAGTGAGATTAATTCTAAGATGTTTCGAACATACCTTCGTCTTCTTAGCACCCTTCTTCGCAGTAGGTTTTTTGGAAGCTGTTTTCGGCTTTGCTGCAGTTTTTGGTGCAGGTTTTAATTCCGCCGTTTTAGATGTTGATTCCGTCGCTTTTGCGGGAGACTTTGGAGCTGTCTTCTTCTTCTTTTCTACCGGAGACTTTGCCGACGACGCCTTTCTCTTTCTTATGCGTCCGCTTTCCTTACTTTCCTTGGCTATCTTTGCGGACGATGCCATTTTGAAGGTTCCTGATGCACCACTTCCTTTTATCTAAACAATTTCGATTGTACTAAAAAACAGTACCACAATATAATTTCATCTATTCAGCTTTGTTGCATATATCTTTAGAAAAAAAATCTAAATGGGATTGTTATAGGTATATAGAGTGGCTAAATGATGATGTCTGCTTTGTGTTACGCAAAAAAGCACAAAACTTGTTTCAACCCTTCCCTGCAATTTACTCCTTGAATTTGATTTTAGTATCTGTTGCAGCTATTGATGATAGCAACTTGAAATGGAAAACAGCAGCTTGAAAATGGAAAAACCATAATGAGCTCCGCCGCCGCTCCAAGGTGTAAAAATAAGTAAGCGAAAACCCTATTTTAGCGATATCTCCAGTTTCGTTGAGATGGAAATAACCACCAGGAAAGTGATAGGGTTGATGATAGATCTCAGAATACACATACAAGCCAATTGAACTCATATATTACAAAGCCTATTTGGGATAAGAGTTGCTTGTCCGTTTGGTAATCTTAGAGGGCAGTACACTTAATGCCATAGTCAGTGCACATTCTTCTCAAACCTCTATATACAGGCTGAATGAGCTGTTTGGTTTTCATGAGAATATATTTTGTAGATTTTCTTTCACGCAAGCATGGTGCAGGTTGTAGTAACCAACTGCCCGACGAACAGAGCTGTTCAAGAAAATCACGGGTTTGCCCGCAAAGAGGGGAACATGGATAGCACAGCGAGTTAGTGCTGTAGCGCATTTCCTCGAGTTGTGGTATGAAGTAGCTTGCTAACGAATTCCAAATTTGCTCAAAACTTTGGCTCGAGTTATTCTCCAGCATGCTGATTACGGATATTATACTCTTTTAGCTTGCACTTATTTGAAGAGTTAGAATAGGTATAAGGACTCAAGTCGTAAATTGGCCTGAAACTCGCTCCCGGGTGGGGGGAGGGGGTATGTGAAGTGCCAATTGAGGATGACGAGCTCGTTTCGCATGATTCGCCCTTTTCGCAGATTTTCGGGATCCACTGGCATGAGAATCAGAGTTGTTTACTTATACACTGCAAATTATTTCGCCTTAGATTAAAGCGTTAGTGCAGCGCTCAAGCAAGATACCTGGCAAGAATGCTTGTAGACCCCAAGCGAATTCTGCAAAATCAAAATTTTGACCCATCTATCATACACCCACCGTAAATAAATTTTAGCTACTTTACGAGATCGATTTGATAGTCATGTTCGGCGTATCAAGTAACCCCCTAGGCAAAGTCTGAAGCAGATCGGGGTTCACACAATACCGTGTACCTATCATAACTCCATGAAAATGCCACCATGCAAGACGAGCATAATTTGTTATCACCGTTCGAACAACGCGCCTCAGCAAATTCCTACCGCATTTATCATTTGATACCACCATCGTATGCCTATAGTAAACAGACAAGGAAAATTTCTTTGAATGCGATGTTCTTGGGCATGTCAGACACTCACATACCCTCCCCCTCCCCCAAGCACATTTGCGAGCGTCCTTGAGATCGGAGCCCGGATAGCTGAATAGCGCCGAAAAAAATCTATACCTGCTCGATGTCACCGCCTTTGGTACCCTTTTTGAGTGCGGATTTTACATGCGAATTGATCTGAAAAATCATTTCTTAGCACAGATTGATTGCCTTGTATAATCACCTTCGGTAGATTCTCTCCCAGTGGGTAATGTTGGGCCAGATACTTCAAAATGGCTGGCTTGCTAGCTCCCTTACTTTCGTTCAGAGCGAGCACTGCTCCCTGAAAAGGAAAGTAAGCCAGTGATTCACGGTTGTTATTGTAGTTTAAATGTAATACATCGTCGAGGTCATGGGGAAAATTCAGATCTCGTGAGAAGTGAACACAAATAGAAAGGAAAAGGCTGACCTTGATCATTGTAAGGTACGTTGGGTGATGGGGTGCAGATACAGGGTTCTTCCTGTCTAGTATTCTTTTCTTCTTTTCAGTTAGTTTAATCGACTCTGGGGGACTTGGACTTACGCTCCGTTCCAGAATATCCTCCACATCTTTCATAGCGCTATCGAGTATACGGAGCATCCTGCAAAAGTACATCTCAGTAGATCAGCTCATTGAATATTAGAATACATGATGATTCTAGTGGTCCGCAGCGGATCTGAGGATTCAAAAAGATGAAAGTGTGCCCTTCTCATGAAACGCTTAGTAGTTGTGCGGAGGGAGTCAATTTACGCAACAACGAAAGCTTAGCGCAAACATCGGCTGACTAGTAAATAGCGAGGGCAGAAAGCCTTGATGCAAGAGACATTTCCAACACTGAGCAGTAGGAGTCCAGGGCCCTTTAGTGATGTGGCCTTTTGCATTGCGAATCATCTGTTACCAACAAAACAGATAGATGATCGAACACCAAAGAGACACAACAAACTGCCGCATTCATGATCATAAGCATGCTGCATCCAGAAATGAGAGAACTAAATACGGAGATGTTGCTATTATTTGTTATAAAACTTTCATACAGTTATAGGTGATTTAGGAGATGAAGAATCAGTTATCTGCTACGATAACTCCAGAAGTAGAATTTTTCACATCTACAAAGAACATACTACAGCTGTTAGCAAAAGTTTGCCGTTCATATACTAGCGTCTACGGAGAGCTGAGGAACGAGGTCGAGAATTTTCTGGGAAATGGCAGAGCTGGAAAGAAATACTTTTGAATTTCTGGCACCAATAAATAACCAGAAATATCGAAAGTTTGCACACACGGCGAGCGATCACTGCAAATGCAAAACAACATGTGAGAGGAGGGCTGAAAGGGTGGGTGTTTACCACGAAGCCATCACGCGCTCTTTCGTGTGTTCTGCGCCTAACTCCACCTCTCCGACTGCGGCACACCCGATCAATTTTTTTCTCTCGGGCAAGAATGATGTGGTACGCGAGAAATGGCAACATGGGCTAATTTTTTTTTGTCGCTGAGGAAAGAAGTTCTATTGCCAGGCCACGCACTTCAAAAAGGGATTAGTCGTAGCTGTATGGGCAATGGTAGGGCGGCGGAAGCGAAGCCAGAATTGAACGGAGCACAAATCTCACTAAAATAAGCATTGTCCGAGCATGTTTGCAGAGTTATTTGGAACTTCAAAAAAATACTTCATAAGAAAAACCACCAACGACTACAGCTATCACATACACCGCATTCTGAATCATTTGAACAGCAGTTTATGCGTGTGATCATTTACGACATAAGAAAGTGTGTTTTTCATTCGAAAAGGGGTAAATTCATTCAAATTCTGTTAAAATCATGTGTAGACGAAAGCCATTGTTCTCATAGTTTTTTCCTCTGGATTTGTATGTAAATAGGAAGTAATGTTCATGTATTTATTTCTCATTAAACCTCTACAAATAGTATTGGGTACATTTGTAGGCAGTGAAAAGTTTTCTCCAAACTTGGTAAAAGGCATTTGTCTAGCAGATAATATCACGAACCTTGGAAGTGCATTCGTTCAATTATATTTTTATGAGCAATGTCGATTTCTATTGGAATAGGATAAAGACGAAAACCTAATCATAAACACTTCTAGCATTCAACATGACTAATGTTAAGATGCGTAATGGTTAGTGCGTCATAAAAGGTGGTATTAGAGTTTTATAATTTATCGCTTTCTTTTAGAATCAAACAATTACTCATGTAGAAACTTCTAGTTCACACTGTCGACGAAAGTAAATCGCGTTTTTGTATTTGTATGAACGATGAGATGAGAGCACGGTCCCGAAAGCTCCTTTATGCTCAGTAGCAAACAATCATCCCAGTTGTGAACGGGAGAAGATTTTATTTACCTGGAAATGAATCCTTAAGGTTTATAAATTCCAGCGAAGACATGATGATGCCGATAAAGAAGAGTCATACTTATATTCCCTATGGTCACGTCATGCGCATATTATAATGGTTGGCGGATAATTTATGATACATTTCTATTTTGTTTCTTAAAAATCTGAGAAACTTCCAAATTTTCTGCGTTCTAGGAGTGTTGACGGGGTGCAAAGTTTTACCCAGTAGTGTCAGATACGTGGTCCGCGCGCAAAACACCCACTTTATCGGTGGGATTACGTTTTATGCACGTCTTTGTCAAGGGACTGGCATTCTCTCAGGTTGTTGATGATTTATGTATCATCAACCTCAATAATTCTATAGTCCTAATAGCTCACGGGTATTCCCCAAAGGCTACATCCCCCAACCGCTTATACTTAAGTGCCGAATCACTCACCAGTGAGTGGCACCTATCATTTAGGGGCCGCGCCAAGCCGCGGCATTCTCTTTCTTGCATATATTTTCTGGACAGTCTGATTGTGCACGGGTCAGCTCCGCCTTACTAGCTATATAAGGAGCCCCCGAATGTATTAGAGGTTGCTCCCCCGGTCCAAAACCGGGTTCGTCTGTGGATAAATTATTATCGACACCACTATCGCCTACGACACTTGGTTCCCACCAAATTGGTGCATCGACCAGTGAAACCACCTCGTATTCCATCTGCAACCGGAGGAATCGAGGCCACAAGACCCGCGTGGCAGGAAGAAGAACCAACCGACTATCTGAAAATCTTTGTGTATCCTTTTCGTAAGCGATCCAAAGAGGTGTAAGAGAAATCGGAAGGAATACCACTGACTATCTGAAAATCTCTGTGCATCCTTTTCGTAAGTGATCCAGGGAGGTGTAGAAGAAATCAGTCGGTCGTGTTAACTTTTTCTTGAAAACTCTCTGTGCATCCTTTTCGTAAGCGAACCAGAGAGTGGGAAAGAATCTGTGTTACCACACAACCACAGACAACTTGGAAACTTTCTGTGCATCCTTTTCGTAAGTGATCCAGAAAGTGAAAGAGTAGTCAAGTGGAGCACATAATCACATTAATACGTGAAACTTTCTGCGTATCCTTTCCGTAAGCGATCCAGAGAGTGGAACAAATTTTGTGAGTGCAGCACATAACCATATAAGACCGTGAAACTTTCTGTGAATCCTTTTCGTAAGTGATCCAGAGAGCGGAACAAATTTTTGTGGGTGCAAATTTCCAATCAATCTCATTGATCTCTCGCGAATCCTATCCAAGGACCGGAGATCAGTACATTGAGATTTGAAAGGAAGGTAACTTGAGCCACAAGCGCTCATTTTGCCAAAAGTCAAAGTTCGACCAAGAACTCTTGACTTAAAGGATTGAAACAATCCTTATCTGGTTAAGGTCCAAGCCACCTTACCAGTCAGCACAGCGTTCAAGCTAACCAGGCACGCTTGCAAATCATCAGCAACCAGCTGCCTCTACTTGACGGATCACCAGAAGATACGTCTACCAAGTTAAAAACCTTGCTAACTTGTACCTTCAAGCAACCAGCTTTCAAAGGAAGAGAAGAAAACAGAAGTCGGTATAGCAAAAATGGCCGCTCTTCAACTCTTCAAACACAAAATCAACAACGCTTGCATGCTCGTAAAATCCTACGAGTCCGAAGTGGAGAACGTAGACGTCCCCTTCACATTTCCAACGACAAAAGCAGAATGTGAAGAATATATCAAAGAAAAGGCAGGAGTAATAACAAATCTCCTCAATTCTTTGCAAAACGCTGTGAAATTGCAAGAAACACAGCTCAGCGCTGCCATTGAGTACATCAGTGCACGCAGTGAAGAAAAGGAACGAGAGAAGCTGATGGTTGAACTCAGCAAGCATTTGGAGCTGGAAGCACTCGATCTGGAAGTGATAGCAGTTCATTGGCAAAACAGAATACAGTTCAGACAACATGAACTGAGGGAGCAAACGACACTTTTGCATACGCCTGCTCCTAGTATTCCGAGTCAGCCAGACAGCGAGATAGGAAGAGGCTCAACAACGGAACAAAGTGAATGCCAGATCAGGATCCGGAAACCGCTCCTAGAGGTTCCTACATTCTCTGGCAACTTCAGAGAGTTCAACAGTTTTTGGACAGTGTTCGATTCACTTATTCACTGCGACGAAGAATTATCGGATGGCGACAAATTCCTTTTTCTAAAGCAAGCGCTCAAAGGAAAAGCAGCTGCTGCTTTGAACTGCATCCCTGTAGTCGGAGAGAAGTATCAGACAGCCGTCAACATTCTAAAGAAGCACTTCGATCGCTCTGCCAACATGGCAGACATACTCATCAACGAAATCGAAGGACTTCAAGGAGCAAATTACAGTCCCGAAAGTTGCCGAGAAACGTTTGAAGCAATCAATTCACGGATCATCCACTTGGAACAAACTGGAATGAAGATGAGCGCAGACAGAATCTGGCGCCGACTAATCTTGTCGAAATTTCCTGAAGCCATCTGCGCAACCGTCATACAGAAGGAAACCGTAGTTGGCGATCACTTTGATGTTTCGGAGATCCTAAACGCGATAGATGACATCATCTCTCTTCGGGAAACGATTGCATTAACAATGAAAACACTTCTTCCAAGCAACATTCAAAGAAGCAACCATCCGGACACAAGTACTGAAAGTCCGAAATGGAAAGAGGAGGAAGAGTATCTCGAGCAGTCTCAGTTTCCTGCTAGCACTCATCATTTGCAAGTCTCTAAGATACTGCAAAGAACCAACTTCGATCATCGCAAAACAAGTGAAGTACCCGTTGCACGGCGAAATGGACAAAAAGTCTACAGCTCAACTAAACTGCCAATCGTGTGCCAAAGCGAACTTCAAATGGCTTCAGCCATGATATTCAGCGAGGCAATTTGGGATTATCAACCCATAACAATACTGATTGACTCTGGCGCCCAGCGAAGCTTCATCAAATCAAAATTTGGTGATGAGCTTAAGCTGCCAGTCATCCAAACGACGTCATTCACCACATCAGGAATGGGAGAACTGAAAGAGACATTCAGTTCCAATGAAGTGCAAATTACTTTGAAAAGCTTTCACAACGCAAAGAAGCTTAAGAAGATATCAGTGCACACGAAAGAGAAGTTGACTGCCAACTTACATACAGCACATCTCACAGATGCAGATGTTCAGTTCATTTCCAATAAGAACTTGAAGATAGCTCAAGATACGCTCACTCATAAAAGCGTCTTGCCTGAACTCATTGTTGGACAAGATCT